ACAAAATTAGTCATTTTTCAGCAGATATCGTAAAAGATACTTTATATGATGTATGTAAATGTCCAATAATGTGTTTTTACTGTAAATGTTCTGTGAATTGTTTTTTTGTTTTTGCTTGGGCAACACTGTAATTCTTCGGTCATGCCAAGAAAGCTCTTTGAATTGGAGTTAGAACCGACGGGGGAAACAGGGATATACAACAGACAGGGCAGAAAGAGTCAGGGAACATTAGTATGTCATTGCGTGTTAAAATCCATCGAGTGAGTGCACGTGTGTCGGTGTGCCCAGCGCAGGTGTCAGCGTGTGTCACTGTGTTTCAGAGTGTGCTAATGTGTGTTCGTGTGTACACAGTGTGACATTGTGGCTAGGCAATTCTAAGAACTCACAGACACCCACTTCCCTGAACTGCCTCCCAGGAGCTTCCTGTCACTGACCTCATCTCGTTAAGAGCCTCGTCAGTGAAACGCACCGGAGTCTGACTGTCCTGAGTTTGTCCACATGAAAGGTGTTCTCCTGCAGAGACAGGCTTTTCCCTTCAGCTGTGTGGAAATACAGTACGTCTGATAGCTATCTGGCTGGGCGCAGGGTCTTGGTGGAGAACCTGCTGCAGACCAGCTGGGCTCGTTCTCTCTGCATTCGTTTCATGTGGTCTGGCGTCAGTTCGTTGGGCCTGAAACGATGTATCAATACTGGTTCATGATTAACTGAGCTCCACTGTGCTGAATTCATCTGGAGGTGGACTAGTGTTTCTTGGTCCCTGTGTCTACAGAAATCAATTCACTTGTGTTCACACACTGCCATAACCAAGTGCACTCACTCCCCTTTGGAGCTGATGCCTGGATTGCTTGTTCGTTTGGAAATATTTTTCAGTTTGTTTTGCTCAGATTGTCTTTGTTTTGAAATGCTTCTGTGGCATCTCTTTTACTCTGGCCCTGACCAGATCACAGTGTCCCATAAGCCCTTTCTCTTCCGGCTTCCAGTGGGAGCTGCTGTCTGACCATGTTTCTAAAATGGCTCCTCTCCTGTCCATTCCGCTTCCCTGGGTGCTGTCGCATTTCCTGGAATACCTGGAAGGCTCCCTTCCTTCCATGGCTGTTGAAAATCAGTTGAGTTTGGATCAAACCTTAATGCTAACACCGTTCTCCAAATGAAATGGACCAGCAACTGAGTCCATAAAAACTCCAGTGTGAACAGCCTCTAGAGACGGTGTCCAGACTCTTGTTGGAGCCCCTGTGTGTGGACACGCCTGGTGTCCAAACTCTTATTGGAGCCCCTGTGTGTGGACACGCCTGGTGTCCA